AATATTCTTTTGCTTATGTTCGAAATGATAATAAATGAATAAATCGAGTTTTCAATTATCTCGATTTCAAACGTTTCGAATCCGATAACGGGGTTGCGTTTAAATTTCTGGATGTAGACTCATTGGGTTTGTATTTATAGATAGCAACATTTTTCCGATTAAATGAGCAAAGTAATATTAGGTTTTTTGTGTCTTACTTCATCACTGTAATATTGACCTTTCTGTTAAGAATTTAATGTATCTTTTGTTTCAGGGTGAGATTGATAGATTTTCTCTACCTCACCTATATTGCACTTTGCATGTTTTATTTCAAACATTTGTTTTATATTTTTTTAATTATTTCTCTTCTCATTTTTCTCTCAGACGAGACGGCCAAATGGGAAAAGATTACATATCTAGGCATTGTCAGTTGCACTGCTTTGGCCATTTATAATCTATCAAAGGGCCACCCACACACAGAAGAACCTCCTGTGTAAGGGCCACCCACACACAGAAGAACCTCCTGTGAGCTTTTGTTTATACACATCTGCAGTTGTTTATGATTGTTACTTTGTATTTTGCTGTCATTTCCCCATCTCCCGTGCATGTTCAAGTATGTTCATTTTGTATTATTAAAACAAAAGTTTAATGTTTTACTTTTCTGCGCAGGCTTACCCATATTTACATATCCGCAATAAGGAATTCCCATGGGGTATGTCTTCAATTTTATGCTTTCATATCTATGATATGGAGCTTTCTTTAGAATTAGTAATTATTTCTCAAATATTTGAATTGTTTTGAATTTTCCCTCCGTTCCTTTAGTGATGGAAAATCTTGTTGGCTATAGACTTTTTTATTTTTGTTAATAATAGTGTAACTGTTTACATGACTATCTTTCATTTTTATTTAGTGAATGGAAGCCTTCTTTTGTTGGTTAGTATACTGGACTTGGTTTCTAATGGATGGGTAGGGAGGCTGGGTTGTGGCTGTTTTGGGTTTATTATTCACATTTTATTATTTGTGGGCTCTTTCAGTCACAGTTTTTATGCATACATTGGATCCAATTATCAAAATTTCAAGTTGAACATGTAATGCCATTTTTAAGTCGAAGATCTGGTGTAAATGATCTTTTTTTTGCTGCTTTTGGTTTTTACATGTTTGTTTGCATGGCACCTACCGAGGCTCATGGCCTCCAATATAAGGATTGAGAACCCAGCAGTAATTTTCTTTTTTCATAAGCATGGCACGTTCTTGTCATGACTCCTTCCTGTTTCTGTATCTCTGTCGATGAAGTGATACACATGGGCAAAAACCTCACAAAGCAATAAACGAGTGTATGAAAAGGGACTCATTTATTGCTTTGGAGCGTCTGCCATAGTGCTTTAATTTAGAGGTGCACAAGTGTTAGGTCACACTGTGGCTCATCGTTTTCTTTTATTTTTGCAATTTAAATCATTATCGTTGCCAATGATTTGATGTAAAGAAATTTTCAATATAGATCCCAGAAGTTACCCTCACATCCGCCCCAGACTTCCCCCCCCCCACAGACACACACAGACACCATATTGTCATTGATAACACACTGCCACACTACTCAGCTCTTTCAACACTATTCATAAGTTATTTTAAGGGTGCTGAAGTTGCTCTTATACCCAACCAGTATTTCTCACTGACTCATTATTTTTTGTTGGTTGTGTAAATTTCTAATTTTATTATCACAATTTGCCTGTAGAGGTGGTTGTTTATTCTTATAGTTCTGTTTGAACAGGTTTCTTTACTAATAAGCAAAAAAAATGAAATACGTTTTTTTTAGAAGGTAAAATTTAAGTAATGGTTAAACTAATATTTTGGAGAAGCTAAAATCATTTAGCTTTCCAAAAAGTTGATTATAACGAACAAATAAACTAATTTTAGCTTATAAAAAAAGTTTATATAATTTTTTCTTTTCATATTTTTAGTAATTATGGGGAAACTTGTCTAGATATATGAATTATATACAAGATTATAGGTTACTGTTTGCTTCTGCATTAGTAGCAGATTTCTTGTGTATTTGTATCCCTTGTCTGCTGTTAGTAATCCAATGCTACTGTGTCTGCCTTTGTCTTCAAAATATTGTTGGACTGAGATTTCAGGTTGTATGACATGTTTCTTTTATGATAAGCAGGTCCCGATGGGCTATTCGAAACTAAGGACCACCACTAAGAGAGTATTAGTGGTTTAATGAAGCTGTTTGTGGCACCGGGGCATTTCTTTCGTCAATGTTCAAGAAATTGATTGACTATTGCGGTTTTTGAAATGTGATCTACAACTTGCACTTGACAACATTTGTTTGCCATGTTTTTATCTTGTGTTCTTTTTCTTATGGTTGTAACAAAATAAAATTGCCAAACAAAATTATGTTTCTTTTCATGTCGATTCTTAGTTCAATAAATTTTGAAAGAAATCGATCGTGAGGCCGCAGGTTTATATTATGTTATGTTATCTCCTTAGCTGTTTTCTTGTCGATCTTAGATTTTGTTTTGATTTTTGAAGAGGCAACCCATGTTTGTGGATGGAAAAGTTCCAAATTATAAAAATGTTAATTGCTGTATATATTTTACAGAATTTTTAACCGCTGGATGTGGGAATAAATGTTTATGGTTCTATGTTGTTGATGACTAATTAGGCAGTTTCCTTAAGATAATATGTATTTGAAGTGGGTAAGTGATGGTGTAGTTGTATTAATTTAAAATGTGCTTCGATTTTATTTTTTTGAGCTTAGGAACTATGTTGGATTATTTTACCAAAGAATTTCACTGGAAGGTTTTCCTCCAAGGTTTTGTTTTTTGAGTGGATTTGATGATAAATTTTTTTGTCGTTTATTTGAGTGAATTTGGAGGTAAACGAGAGTGAATTTAGAAATAAATTTTTTTAATATTAGTATAGAATTGTATTAACGTGACAAATTAAAAAAAATTATTTTCAAATTCATTCTCATTTATTTTTAAATTTACTCAAATAAACGACAAAAAAAAATTATTTTCAATCCTCTCAAATTCTCTCAAATCCACTCAAAAGAACAAGGTCTAATATCCACAAAATATAATTCTTTGCTGATAAAGGTGACAATTAGTGACTTTGACCCATATGAGTGGTTAATATCATTCTCAAAACTAAAAAAAAATAAGAAACTTCCAAATCTTTACTCGTCTTTCTTATCTCTCTCAATCCTTTCTCATTCCAATTTTTTTTCTGTCATTCATATGATAGTTCAAACTGTAAAATCAGAAACACTTACTTAACTCTAATCCACTAATTCACTTTCTTTATTTATCCAATTTCTCTCTTGTTAGTATGACATTGCTTTATGATCTCTTTTTCTTTAGAGATTATTTTACCTTTTTGTTATTTTTATAAATATGATTATTTATGAAAGACCTAACAACTAATAGTTATATGAAAAATGATAGGGCTGCTCTTGTATAACTAAAATAATGATTTTGAACTTTTTTATAATTTTAATATAAATTTAATAATCACATTTGTATTTTAATAAGGATTACATTTTTTAATTGCATATACTTTTCTATTATCATAAAAAATGACAGACACGTATACGTCTGTATATGTTTGTACTAGTATGTAAAGAAAATATTTGTAGAGGATATGGATGTATATATTTCTAGGTTAGGCGCTAAAGATGTGTTACAAAATTAAGTTAAACACAATAATTTAGTATTACACTGTTAATTTTTATTTATGAGCTTTTAATCTATAAGGAATAATCCACTGTCCAGTTGTAGGATGAATAAGGTTGGAGTCTCGTAGCCTATGTTCCTTCAACGATCAGGTAATGCTTTGTTATTGAGCTCTTCAAATTGTGGGTCGGTCTAGGGTTGATTTGATCAAAACTGGTATAAATTAAAAAGAGATTTGCAATATTCCCAGAAATATTAAAAGATAACTGTTAATTTAAAACAAACTGAGAACTTATCGATGATGATGGATTATGTCAATATTCTAGTACTTTCAAAAATCATAGTTTAATCAATAACTAATTTTGTTATAAATTTGAATATAATTTAAAAATATGTTAAGTCATTGCACTTTGAATTAGAAGATCTATTATTTTAGATGTTTTTATCCACAATACTTGAAGGTCTTCTTCTTGAAGAAGGTGCAGTTGCTTTCCTAACGCAAGTGAGATTTAAGCATGTAGCGGTTATGACAGTTCTATCATCGTTGTATTGGGTTAGTTGTAGAGGCGCCATCTAGTTAAGGAAAGGCTAACTGCCTATAACTTCTCCATTGTTGCCTGCATTTAAACTCTTTCTGTTTTCTGACTCAAACATCATCACATTTCTTTTAGTGTCAATTGTCAATATCAACATGTCTCAACCCAATCACGGAGGCAGGAAAAGATAAAAATATAAAAGAAGTCCAAATTTGAAAAAATATGTCAAGAAATGTAAAAGTGTTAACCTTGACAAGTGACTTGATGTTCCCTTATGCTATGAAATCCAGTTTAAGGTGCAAACTCCTTCTCTTTTGTCTTTTCACCAGCTGTTGTTATAAGTAGTCATGTTTTTGCAGGGAAGATGTAAAACCATAGTAAGTATTCATTGATCGCTTGAGAAAACAGAACAAATATTGGAGTCTTACCATTCATGTCATTTTCTGAATCATAAATGATTGGCTATAATTCTTCCAATGCGATGCTTATTAAACACACGATGGAGATTTAACTGTTCGATTTTCCTTTTCATAAAGTGGGATTCATACAGTTATTTTTGCACGATATTTGGGTAATTCATTTATTTTATGCAGTGTCCTAAAATAAGTGCTTCACAGACAGCTATAATTTTATTTTGTACTATTTGTGATCATTTTCCAGTTCAAAACTAATATCTTAATATAAATCATTTACAACTAAAATTTTAGCCAAATGATTCATGCCTTGAGTTATTATTCAATAACCTTTCCAAAATAACAATAAGAAAAGAGCCAGTTGTAGAAATATGAGGAACTTTGCTCGGATGATATTTTTAACTTGATAATTATTGTTTCCATTGAAGCGTTCAGGTTACATATGAAGAATAGAGAATAATTTATACAAAGAAAGCTGTAGGTCTTTCTAAATTCTTAATCTGACTTTGAAAACAAAAAAGCTTGACATCATAATAACCAACTAAAGAAACTCAACAAAATTCGAAAAAGAAGTAGGACCGAAAGAAGCTGCATACAATTAAACTATTAGAATTATCACTGTGCTGCAGTATCCTTAATATGATTGCTTTCTTCATGAGATTGTGGCAAATCCACGCGAGATTCTTTATCCTCATGAGTGATAGAATGATCAGAACTTCCTTGATCATTCATGTTAGAATTGCTGTCTCCGTTGAAGTGTGCAGATTCCTCCTCCTTTTGTGACTCCACTGTTTTGTTTTGAGCACCATCTTCATTTTCACTAGTCTTGCTCTGAACTGTGTTATCATTCTCACCCTGCCCAGCATCAGCATTGTTATTTGAAGATGTATCTTTCTCTTCCTGAGTGGATGAACCCGAAGTATTGTCTTGTGCTTCACCATTATGATTCCCATTGTCATTTTGATTTTCGTTGTGTTTAGAGGCATTCTCGTTAGAATCACTGCCGTTATCTGAGTTTGAGGTTTCATTTTTGTTTTGCTCAGAAGAAGTTTGAGACTGGCTAGCATCATTGCTGTTATCTGAGTTTGCGGATCCCTCTTTGTTTTGCTCAGATGAAGTGTCAGACAGGCTAGCATCATTGCCGTTATCTGAGTTAGAGGATCCCTCTTTGTTTTGCCCATATGAAGTGTCAGACCGGTTAGAACCATTGCTATTATCTGAGTTTGAGGATTCATCTTTTTTTTGCTCAGATGAAGTGTCAGACCGGTTAGAATCATTGCTGTTATCTGAGTTTGAGGATTCCTCTTTGTTTTTCTCAGATGAAGTGCCAGACTGGCTAGTACTGCTGTCATCCGAGTTCGACGATCCCTCTTTGTTTTGCTCTGATGAAGAATCAGACTGGCTAGAATCTTTGTTGTCATTAGCACTTCCATCACTGTTTGCGTTGGTTTGATCAGCATTGTCATTCTGCGTAGAATATGTATTACTTTCTACATTTGCGGCTTCATCTTTCTTTTGATCTGAGGAAGTATCAGATGAAGTGAGTTGAACATCATGGCTAGCATCTTTGTTGTCATTATCGGATGATGCAACATTTTCCTGCTTTCCTTCTTGGACAGAACTGTTGCTTGGGTTTTCATTCTGAGCAATATTACTTGTTGTGTCCTTGTATTCACCATCGCTTGCATTGCTGTCGTGTGTTTCAGCTTTCTTCCACGCTTCTTCTGAGTTAGAAGAAGAAGAATCTTCGACTTTTGGTGTTGCATTCTGCATGTTGGAGTCCTCTACTTTGGAGTTGTTTTCATTTTCTGATGCTTCAGTATTCTGAGATGATGTGTCAATCCCATTCTGCAGTGATGAATCTAGAGTATCGACACCATCCTTTATGGAGTCATTTTTCTCTTGATGCGGCCATTCTGATTCTGACGTGGAACTTTTCTGTGACTCATTCTCTGGTTGTGCCTGATTTTCAGCATCACTTTCATTTCCTTGGCTGCTTGTTGTGACACTAGAATCAGCCCCTTCTTTGTTGTCAGCATTCTTCTGAGACTCTAGCTCGAACTCATTGTTTTCCTTTTTATCAGAATTTTCATCAGTGTCTTGCGGTTTATGGTCTACAGCACTAGAAGCATTATCTCCAGCATAATTTTCCTCTCTATGCTCCTCCTCACTTTTGCCCCCATCCTGATCCTGATCTTTAGATGTAATCTCTTCCTGAATTTTGTCTTTCTCTTCTCCCCCAGTTTCTCCATTGTTGTTCTCATCTGTCATTTCTTTACTATCTTGCTCATGATCTCCCTCCTCCTTCTCTTCAGTTTCATTCTGTTTCACCTCTTCATTCTCCTTATCTTTATTCTCTGTCTCTTCATTAGCTTGCTGACTTTTCTCTTCGTCAGTGTCTCCAGTTTCATTGTTCTCCCCTTCGCTTTTGTTCTCTTCATTCTCCTTCATTGTATTGTCATTCTCATTGTTATCCATATTGTCATTCTCCGGTTCATTCTTTTCTTCTTTAACTTCTCCGGTTTCTTTGTCCTCCGTTTCACTATTGTTCTCCTCATTATCCTTCAATGTACTCTCACTCTCTTTGTTGTCCATATTTTCATTCTCTCCAAAAAATTGTTCATTATGATGTTCGGCTTCCCCTTCTGTCCTAGCAATTTCAGAATTTTCTTCAGTTTCTTGGTCTACTGAATCCTGTCTGTGCTCAGAATTCTCTTCATTGTTATTTTGCTCATCATGCTTCAGGGCCTCATCTTCTACACCATTAACGTCATCCAGTTTGTTTACCTCTTCGTGCTTGTTTTCTTGTTGTTCATCCTCCTCCTCCTCCTTGTGCCTTGCATCTACCACTGGAGTTTTCTCCACGCCAGGATGAAGGTCCTTCCTCCCCAACTTGATAATCTCACCGCCAGTCTTCGTGCTTTCAACAAAGGATGATTTCTTGTCATTAGAGTGTTTGATTTGGTAGACTAGCCAGATACAAACGCCAAGCAGAACACATAACTGTAGAGCATGCTTCACCTTGAAGCCGCCTTTGGATCTTTGACTCCTCCGGGGAGATAACCTGAACATGCTGGAAATTCCTCACCCACCAAATTTAACTTCTTTCGAATGTACCTGCCCATATGAAGGTTAAATTCTTTGAGGGACTCACATAATCACAACTAGCAACTCAACATACTCAATAACCATGAACTTGGCAAAGAAATGAAATATCTAAAAATTTAAAGCTTATCTATGTATTATAAACAAAAGAATAGTTATATCAGTTGAACTGCTGATATTAAATAACACAGGGTTTATAAAACACAAAGGCTGCATTTAGCAGCTCATCAACAAATCATAAAACGCCATCTTTAAAAGCAATATGATTATGTAGGACAATCATAAAAATGGAAGATAGGACAAATCGCATAATATACAGGTATCCAGTAGCCAAATCTAGATCAACAAAGGAACATGTGTATGAACAGAAACAAAAATAAATCAGAATACGTGATAATGTATGCCACACTAAAAGGCATTCACAGGTGTACCCAGATCTAGACTGGCTCTTCTCAAGAAGATCATAATTGAGTTAGCAGTTCCAAGTAAATGAAAAGTGAATATTCCTTGAGATATTAGCAATGGTACATGTACACATAAGAATTGCAACGCAAATACTTACATACCTGATACAAAGTGAGTGTCCAAGAAAGAGGAATCCTTTTCAGTAGGGTGGGGGCAGTGCTTACAAGTGGCAGTTGCAGACCACCGTCTTCCACAGCACTGAGAATGAATGAGAGATCAAAAAAACCTTAATTTGTGTTTGGAGTTTCTATCAGTGGGAATGCTGCTGGATCTGATCCCTTCCCTGCAACAGGAACGATAACCAGATTTAACAATAATTTTTCACTGACAAAATGGCAAATCACAATGCTCCGCCCTCATTTATAGCAACTCAACATTGCATCTTATACACAAATTTTTTATTTTAGACCAGTGAAAATTACTTTCCACATTTATGTTCACATTTTTTAATTACATTAACTTCTATAATTTTAATTTTATGTGTAAGTAAATAATAAATAGAAAAGCAATATAATTTAATATATATATATATATATATATATATATATAATTTTATACAAAATAATATTGAATAACTAACTGTTATTTTAGAGAAAAATTTATTTAGCTTTTTTAAATAAAGAGATATTATTTATTTTATTTTATGAAATAAAAAAATATTTTTAATTTAAAGATTACTTGAAAGGAAGTAATGATTAATGTATCGTGATATGTATAGATTTTATCTTAATCGGTTTAACTGCTTTGTTATTCAACTCTAAATTGTTGAGCGCAAAACGACGTTGTCTTTGGCAAAGCAATAGCACTTGGTGGATCCAAATCGGACACGTGACATTCCACAAATCCTGGCCATTGACTATGTCGGTTACACTCTTCCACCGTCCGATCCAATCGAACTTATTGAGAAAAATCGTTTTCTCTTTTTACTTTAGAAAAAAATAGTCGATATTTTATATTTGTATATTTTATATAAATATAAAACTTCATGTTAGTTACTTTGCCATATCAATAAGATAGGGTTGAAGTGAAGTTGGTTGCTTCCCACCTTGACCACCGCAACGTAAAACCTTATTTAGTGGCAGTGCCTGAAATATCTAGCAATTTTCTTTTTATTTTTTAATTCAAGGTAGTTTTGACTGAGATTTTTTTTTCAATATACAGAAATTCATTTGAAAAACATTGTAAATAAATTTTTTATACGCAATATAAAAATTGAATATCTGATTATATTTAAAAAAAATACGATTATTAATAAATTATATCAAACGATAACATATAGGAGTTTGAATAAGTTCATTGACGAAATCAGTGGTGTTTAATTCGTATATATCGTGACTATTGTAATAATTTTAGTATAATTCTTAAGATAATATTTTAAATTTAATAAATTTATGATAAAAATGATTTAATATTTAATAAGGATATAAAAATGTGATTGGTTATCTTGAGCATGAAAAGTAACTTACAGCGTTGATTTTGTTTTGTGAGATATGTTGAACCCTTTAAAGATCAAAACTGGGTGAGTAATGAGCTGAAGATTGTGATATATCAAATGTTTGCCCAAGTGGGTAAGCAGTGCTGATAGACTTATCAAGCCCAATCACATTATTGGTCCACTTCAATAGCATAAGGTCTCTTTTTTCTAATTCATGTGGGATCGTTAACTAATTTATATATATATATATATATTGTCTTGTTTTAAAATTTAATTTTGAAAAGTCAAAGGTGGTTCGTTTCACATAAAACTTGGACAAGTGAGCTAGTCAACGATGAAGAATTTATAAGTACTAAATTATAATGGAATCATACGTAAATAATGAAAAAATAGAAACTATTATATATTAAACAATAAGGCAATGGAAATTAATTTAAGGTTATAATTGGTCAAATATTATTATTTTATTAGCTCGTTTGAATTTATATTCAAAAAAATATTTAAAATGAACTAATAACAAATTATCACATGTGATAAAAAAATTATAAAAAAAATTGTTAAAAAAACATTTTTCATGTTGAAATGCAAACATGTATTATTTTAATTTTCAATATATAGTGTGGTCATCATATTATCTATTTATCTGTATGATATTTTAAAAAAATGTTGATGAAGAGATTTCAATTTTACTATTTTATTACACTTTAAAAAGTTAGTATTTGACAAAAAAGAAGTTGCTAAAGTGCATAATGGAGTACTGAGTAGATCATGTTAGAGAAAAGAAAGTTAATTATAGTCTATAATTCATTGATACTTTAATTTAGATTACATATATGTATATGACATATATTTGTATTTAATACTTTAATATATTTTACCAATATTTATCAATGAAGTTTTTAATATATAAAATAATAATATTTTTATAAGAATAATAATTTTATAATTATTTATGTTGATAACTTTAATACATATTATTTTAACTTAGATTTACATAATAACAATCATATATTTATCAAGTTTTAATAATGATTATATAATTTTTAATATGCATATATCATATACTGTATTATGTTATTTTCAAAATATATCCGTACATCATAAGTGATAGGAAACTAAACTCTCACTCACTTATTATTTCACTTATTGGGATTGAATCTTGATAGGTGGAGTTGAGTATAATAACTTCCTTAATTCAATAAAAATAAATAAATTAAAAAAATGAATTCCTTGTTCAATAAAAAAAAATTAAATTTAAGTGAAAATAAAATATAAATAAAATAGTGTCTTACTTAAGGAAGAATATAACTTTAGTTCTTCATTTTTTTTGCACACTTAATTCTCTTTCTTAAAATATGATGATGGTTTTAATACACGAAAAAATATAAGAAAAAAATAATTAGTTATTTAGTCAAGTTTTGATGAATTCATGTTCATTCTAGTCGATCCATGATTAGTTAATTTGGGTTAAACTTAGGTTGTTCCTAGTTTGATCAAGAATGAATTAATCCTAACCCAATCAAGACCAAATTGTCCCCACCTAATCAAGACTAAGTTTAAATGGGCCAAAGTTGAGTAGAATAAACCTTGGTATAGGTAAAGCCAAGTCGGCTCGAGTCAAAATTTAAAGAAGTTGGCTTGCACATCATTCAGGTAGAGCCAATATAGGCCAAAATCAAGCTAAGTTTGCCCAGTCCATATTGAGTTAGACTCACATTGTATCAAGATAGACTTGGCCAAATCAATCGAAATAAAGTTGAATCAATATTTGGTTAATACATCGAGCCTACATGAGTTAAAACCATGTTAAGTTGAGTTGGGTTGATCACATTATGTTGATTCCATTTTTGAATAATGTAATTAAGAAATATTTAATTTAGATTTAATCCAAACTATATTGGATTAAAAAAATTAAAATCAATGTGATATAGTTAAAATGGTTTGGATTTCAAAATCCAATATATTCTTTTTATCTAGATTGAATCTAGATTTGATTTTGAAAAATTCAATCATGATCATCCATACCTTCACAACTTCAGTTTAACTATAAAATACACAAGTCATGTAGGATCTATACTTCAGTTCCACACTAAAAAAGAAAAACAAATATTAACACTTACCAAAGTCATGTATGATGCATGTTTATATTCATGCAGAATATGTTATTCACTTGAAAAATAAATGTGAAGTCATGCTTTCATGGCATAACTTTTTTTTTCCAATAAAATCACGTCAATTACACGATTTATTCATACTTGTAAAATTTAAAATTTCAAATTTTTGCACATATTTACGTAAATTGAGTGAAAAATTACTGATAAAGTTTCCAATTTGTAACTGATTTGCGACGATAAATTGATGCATGTGCTAATTTAATTTTGTCCTGAGTTGCCATTAACTTTCCCATGTTTACTATATATATATATATGTTTTATATTGATTCTCAAGTGATTATTTACTAAATTATCGCTAAATTTATGTAAAACTTGGCTAGTTGTATGTGAGTCAAAGGTTCGCAATTTTTGCCCGAAAAAGTTCATAAAAATGTTTGCAATTTTCATTGGAAAAATTATTATTAATCTGTGGCCCAAATGATACAAGCAGTGGGAGCGGCCCAATAGTTCATGGCCCACAACTCTGATAAATCTATCAGAGGGAAAATATCAACTCTGCAAACGTGGCAGAGGCTGTGTGAGTGAGGAAGAAAGAGAATGGAGAATCCAGAGGCTTCTTCCCTGGAGACCGAAAAAGAAGGTGGCAGCACGGCGGTACGGCGGCTTCAGGCGACCGGAGTGCAGAAGAGAAAAATGGAGAGAATGGAGAGACAAGTAAGTAAAACCCAATCTTTATCTGTTTCTATAATATTGCTTGTAATCTCAGTTTTCCATTACATTCAAAGACATAGAGAA